TTAGCTTCCTGGCCGTTTTAACCTGACGGTTAGCTTCCTGACCGTTTTAACCTGACTGTTAGCTTCCTGACCGTCAGCTTCCTGACCGTTTTAACCTATTAGCTTCCTGATGTTTAGCCTCCTGATGTTTAGCCTCCTGGCAGTTAGCTTCCTGGCGGTTAGCCTCCTGGCAGTTAACCTCCTGATGTCTAGCTTCCTGATGGTTAGCTTCCTGACGGTTAGCCTCCTGGCAGTTAACCTCCTGATATCTAGCTTCCTGGCGGTTAGCCTCCTGGCGTTAGCATCCTGACGGTTAGCGTCCTGACGTTGCGGTTGTTTCAGGCCATGCGGACGCTGAGCTGGAAGCCTCACCTGGGCTCCGTCACTCTGGACCTGGAGCTGGAGGACCGGACCCTCACCAACCTCACCGTGTCGCCGATTCATGCCGCCATCATCCTGCACTTCCAGGAGAAAAGTACGAGCTCTGGGTTTAAATATTTACCTGAATACAGGTGCAGGCCACACATTTCATATTTTATGCATGATTTTTCTTAGTTGAAGCCTTAAAATGCGGAAGGGGTGTGAATACTTTTGTTAGTTGTGAAAACAAAAGTTTTTTTTCCTGCATTTTAAATTCTGGTGCTGATCCAAACCAATCAGGTGATTCCTACGTGTTTCCTCTTCCTCCTCGTCTTCCTCCTGCCTGTGCTTTAACCTGACAGGCTCGTGGACCCTGGAGGAGCTGAGCGTGAAGCTGGCCGCCCCCAAGGAGCTGCTGCACAGGAAGCTGGCGCTGTGGCAGCAGCAGGGCGTCCTGCGGGAGGAGGCGGCCGGCCGCTACGCCGTCATGGAGACGGGCACCACACGCGACAGGCTGGACCGCGGCGTGATGCTGATCGACAGCGACGAGGAGCGCGACTCCAACACCACCACCCAGTCTGAGCAGAGGGAGGAGAAGCTGCAGGTCTGCAGTCACTTCCTGCTTCCTCCCAAAGGCCCCGGGAGTTTTAAGTCAAAAAGAGAGCTGGTGCAGAGATAGATAGATAAATAATATTTAATCTGCTGTCAATACCAAGAATGTAGACATCAACCGAGCTGAACACCAGGAAAATCCACCTGCAGTACACAGTTCAACCTAAAGAGGGCAGCACTGAGACACATTTAGGCCAAATAACGGAACTGAACAAAGTGACATAAAAACATTATGCTGCACTTAAAGGTGCATCATCATCTTTAATCTCCATGGCAACCACTCAGCTGCAAAACCCCTGGGTGGACGTTGCCCCACCGTCAAGGTGCAGCTCCTCCCCACTCAGCTCCTTCAGACTAGCCAGCAGCAATTAGCAAACAGCTGGTGGAACTGAGCTGCTGCTCAGCAACGCTGGTAGAAACGTTATAATAGAGGAGCCATGTGGGGAAAAAAGTAATAAGATTAGTTATGTTAATATGAGAATAAAATAAAGACGTTAAGAGAATAAAGTCATAAGCAGCATCAGTTCTGTGCAACTAAACGACCTTTGACCCTGTTTGTTCCCACAGCTGTTCTGGGCCTACATCCAGGCCATGCTCACCAACCTGGACAGCATGACGCTGGAGCGCATCCACACCATGCTGCGCATGTTCGTTGCCACGGGACCCGTCGTCACGGAGATGGACGTCAACGAGCTGGAGGCCTTCCTGCAGAGGAAAGTCAGGGAGCATCAGCTGATCGTTTCCACCGGCATCTACAGACTGCCCAAGACCAGCTGAGGAGGACGGGGCGTTCAGGGGAATCGGGAAGATACAGGACCGAGGAGGACGGGGCGTTCAGGGGAATCGGGAAGATACAGGACCGAGGAGGACGGGGCGTTCGGGGGAATCGGGAAGATACAGGACCGAGGAGGACGGGGCGTTCGGGGGAATCGGGAAGATACAGGACCGAGGAGGACGGGGCGTTCGGGGGAAACGGGAAGATACAGGACCGAGGAGAAACGCCTGACTCCTACAGATAAAAACCACTGAATGAACAGTTTTCAGTGTTTTGCTTCAGGAAATTAAAACGTTTGAGATGATGTCATGTTTTTCATGTGCATTTCTAAGTTTTCATTGAAATTTCAGAATGTTATGAAGATCTTTGACTTTGTTACTGACGACATTCTGATGGCAGAATGTCTGATATAAAAAAGTTAATTTAAGATCTCTAACTCACTTGGAGATAAAATTATAGCTCCAGATTTTACTAAATCGGTTTTATTTACTTTCTAGATATCTGCAATTTAATTTGCACTAATTGATCAATAAATCTTATTTAAAATAATTGGACTTATGACTATTCAAAATATACGAGATCTGAAATTTAGGTTATAACTTGTAATTGAATTAATTTTCATACTGATATGTTGAGTTGAAGCTTCCATGCATCTTGTTCTGTTATTTAGTTTTAACCTGTTTAATCCCACCGGCAACAATTGTTGCCAGACATTTTTCCAACTTCGGGAACCTCTAAAATAATTTTGACTTTTAGCAACTAATTTAAGTTTTTAAATCAAATAGAGTGTCTTCTCTAACCAATATCAGTTTCCTGTATTAGTGTGAAAGGTCACATGACCTCTTTACTTCCTGCCTGTGATGCTGGAGGTAAACATCCGTCACTAACCTCATTAAAATATTTAAACATCAATAAAATATTTTGTACATATGTTCTTTCAAGTGTCTTCTACTGATGTATAAAGAAAATTGTATCCATTCGTCCATATTTTGATCATAAGCAGAGTGAATGTAAGTGACGGCAGTATATCCACTGATCTGTTTATTCTATATGCACAGCTTTAAACCATCAGATATTTCACATCTTCTAGACCTGAACGAAACTCAAAATGTCTTTTACATCCCACAGCTGAAACCCTGTCCCATTTCAGCCCCCAAAAGCTGACCCTTCCCCAAAATGTGGCGACTGGATGACGCCACGCTTGGTCTGGTGGGCCGGGGGAACTTCCTCTCGCCTCTGATGAAATAACTAAATGAGGTCAAAGGTCGCTTGGCACATTGAGACAATGACATCTGCAGGATCTGTTTCTAAAATATTTCTGAACACTTGTAGCCATTCTTCGTTATAATAGGTTACGTATGTCATGATTTTTCTTATTTTTATGTGTAAATAGGCCAGATGTGTGTAGTTTAGACTAGGCCGTTTCCCAGAGTATAAAACCTGTATTTAACCAACATAAAATGTAATAATTCATAAATATGTGTAATGCAGGTCCAAGGATTGAAATCCATGCACTTATTTTTCAGGAAAAAATTTGCATTCAGTCATAATGCAACAGCAGGTACCTTGAATGCGAGTGGTGAAGCTGATTTTATGTTAAACATGTTTTCGGATTTTCCTGCCGTTTCCTCTGAACAGAAGCTTCAGTCCGTCTGAAACACCAGAAACTTTAAGCGTTTATTTTCTGCTCAAAGCATCACAAACAGCAGCAGACGGATGCATTTCTACATTTCAGGCAGGACAGGTTTAGACATGAAGAGGATTTTCTGGACCAGCGTCTCAGCTCAGTCACTGTCAACAGAACATCTGGACTTATTGCTTTATTTTAACATTTTCATGGCAGCAGACATTAAAAGCTCTCAGGAGGTTATTAAGTCATTCAGACTGAAACAAGGCAGATTACCGAATTCATCACTTTAGTAACAAAACGTTCCCTTTGAAGGATTAAAACGTAACAGGTTCAGGAGTGAAGTTAAAGGAACAGGCCGGTGTTTTTACCCCTTCAGCTGCAATCAGAGCAAACGTCTGGAAAACGGAGCAGAAACTCTGGAAGCTTCTCCAGAACATATTACAGTTCACTTCAGGAGGAATTATTAATCACAACCATTTTAATATTTGTTTTTAACGATTAAATTACAGTTTTAAGGGGGGAAATAAATCTGATTAAGAAGTAGGATATTTTTACAGCTTCAGGTGGGAAACGTGAAAGTTGATTATTTGTATCATGTCCAGTTTTATGGAAGAGCCATGCAGAGAGCATGAAACAGCGGCCTGCTCCCTCAGCTCCTGGTCAGTGCTGCAGACTTTTCCCTCAGGTTGAACCATGAACCGCCGGCTGCGCAGCGCCAACGCCGCAGCAACACCACGCTGCAGCAGCAATGCCGCGCCGCCGCAGAACCGCCGCGCCGCCACAGAGCCTCAGCAGCACTTCTTGGCTCGCTTGCGGTGGCCGCGGTCTTTCTGGGTGCTGATGTTGACCGTGTCTTTCTCCCGGAAGCGCTCCCTCTCGGCGCGGTCCCGGCTTTCCTTCTTGGCGTGGAGCACCATGCGAGTAAATGCCATGAACATCTGGAAAGGAAAACCGAACATGAACAGCAGACCTGGATGTGCTTCAGAAAACGTCCCGGTTAGACCTGGATGTTCTGCTGCTCAGTCATGAAGCTGCTGGACAGAAAACATCTGGACTGTTTCTAACAAATAAAACATTTTAACTGGGAAACATGAGATGTGACCTAAATGACTAAGTTATTCATGTTTATGGTTTTTAAAACACTTTAGTTTTCTGCTGAAAATGTATTTTGTCTTTTATTCTGTTTTAGAAAAAGTCATAATAAACCAAAGACAGGAAGTATAAATAACATTTAGTAGTTTTTTTTCTGCAAAATAATAAAACTTCATTAGATTAGTAAGTTAGTGTTTATATTCATAGCAATTATATATTTAGGATGCAAGCAATCCTTAAAACATGTTTTTTTATGAATTTAGATTGTTTTTCAGAAATTAACTTGACTTTAAAATTGACAATTTTTTTTTAATTGCACCTTCTACTTTATTGCAGCTTCATTTTGAAAATGACAGAATGTGAAATAAACAACCTTAGAAAGTAATTTGTTCAACATGAAAAATAAAAACCTGAAAATTCTGATGAATAATTAAACAGACATTTTTTCTCATCATAGGAAAAGCTAATGTTAGCAGCCTCTGTCAACATTAGCTTTTAGCAACAACTATGCTAACAGATGCTAACAGTAGCTTGCTAGCTAATGTCCTCAATTCTGAAGTCAAATCAGTCTGAGAACCATTTTAACCTTCCATCAGGTTATTTGGTAAAAATCAGGTTAAATGTTTTCTATATTTTTTTTGATGCAGGAACTGAGAATCTCGAGATAAAATCATTTTCTGTTACATCAACATTTCCATAAAAAAAGCAACAATCCCATTAATGTAAAGGTTTTCAAAGGTTTTCAGGATTTCTAAGCATCTGCTCAGGTTTTATTTGGACTTTTGTTGCTTTTTTTAAAGCTAAAAATACACATTTAAAAGTTTGACAGAAAATATAATTTTATCTCCAACAAGATGATTAGTTGGAATCTTTAGGAAAAAATGTCAAAATAATAATAAAATCTTTCACCTCTTCTACGTTTTTATTTTCTTTGGCACTTGTCTCGAAAACAGGGACGCCCAGTGACTGCCCGAACTGCACGGCGTCCTGGGTGTCCACCTTCTTCTTGGCCGGATCGTCATTCTTGTTTCCCACTGAGCAGAAATGAAGAAATGAAAATAAATAAAAGCTGGTTCTGATTTTCTGTTTTTAACAACTCCACATTCAGAAGGAAGTTCAGGCGGTTTGAACAACGTGAGAGCGCATCAGGTTGATGTATGTTACCTTTTCCTTCCTCAGAGCAGACAGAGCGTCTGCATGGTGCAACAGATTAATTATAGCTGCAAGATTTGATCAGCATCTCCGTTTTGTCACATTACAACATAAACCTTAAACTTATTTTATGCTATAAACCAGTGGTTCCCAAACTTTTTCTTCTGCGCCCCCCCAGTGGTTTCCAAACATTTTCTGTGCCCCCCCCTATGGATTACAAATGGCTGTCTGGTTGAAACGACGCGTGTGAGGGGGGAGGGGCATCGACTTATTTGGGGGCAAAATAAATGTACGTAGCTGAAAATAGACACCAACATCGGTAGCCTACAAGCTACTTGTTAAGCTTAAGGCTCTGTGTTGATATTAGCTAGTCATCTTTTAGCTAACATTACCTGCATCCAACAGCTTTACTCAGCTCAGTCGGTTAGTTTGGAGGGAAAAACTGTGAAAAGTTCTTTGCGTTTTGCTGGTTTGCTGCCGTGATTCTAACACAAACCTACGTAGCTCCGCCCAGCAGCAGGTCTCCTTCACAGGTGGAAACCCAGCGCGAGCGCCGTAGCGCTCATGTTGCGTTTAAAGGCGGCTCGGAAAAACAGGTTTCCACATGTTAACAACGGATTAAACAGTTTTAACTGCTGATAAAAGTGACAGAGGACACAAATATGGGAAGTGTGGAAGCCCCTACTGTATCAAATTGACATAGGAATAACAGAGAGTTGGCCATTCTAAGGTAAAAACCCAGCGCATACAGTGTTCATGTTTTGTTTTTTTCATCCAGACGGCTTCCCGCGCCCCCCCTGCAATGACACGGAGCCCCCCCTAGGGGGCGCGCCCCACAGCTTGGGAACCTCTGCTATAAACCAACAGAAAGGGAATCGCTAGGAAATGGAAGAACTTTGTTTTTAACAAATCTGAAAAGTGTGGCATACATACTTTGTAGAAACACTGATGTAACAGCTGCAGATCTTAGAAACAGAGTGCTATAAAAAACATCCAGCTGATTTTTGGTGTCTGGAAATTGAGCCCTTTCAAAATCCTCCTGATACCCAACATGCTTCACCAGATGTTCAGGGGTTTGTTAGTCTTTTTATTTTACGCAGTAGTGCAAGTAGAAAAAGTGCTACTTTGTTTTAAATCCATCGCCTCTAAGTTCTTTAATCTGCAGAAGAAGTGAAAACGTTTCAGGGTGTGAATACTCGCGCGGAGCCCACCCAGGATCTTGCAGACGTTGTCGCAGTTCTCGGAGATCTCGTTGAGCCAGCGCTTGACGTTGACGAAGGACTCCGGGTTGGTCACGTCGTAGACGATGATGACGCCGTGCGTGTTCCTGTAGTATCTGTCGACACAAGGCGCAGGATCAGCGCTACGATGCGGCACGGAGAACAGAAACCCAGCAGAGAGGCAGCGTTACGTGGAGGTGATGGTTCTGAATCGCTCCTGGCCCGCCGTGTCCCAGATCTGCAGCTTGACGCGCTCGCCCTCCATGTCCACCGTCCGGATCTTAAAGTCCACTCCGATGGTGGTGATGTAGCTGCCTGCAGGAAGTTAGAAAAGCATCACAACCCTGCATTTTTACTGGTTGTTTTTAACTAAATATTTGAATCTGTTGCTTCATTATTCTGTGTATCATTGACTTCTACACTGAATCCATTGAATCACTATAATTTATTTCTATTCAGTTCGTTTTCTGCACCTGAAATAATTTTTTATGATCATAATCTAATCATAAAATATGTTGATAAAAATATTTAAAAAACATTTTTCTCATTTTGAAATGACTCAGCAGATCAGAGTCGATGTTTCCTGTTTCAGAGACTCCTGGGTTCAAAACTGTCCCCAAATAATTCAATTAAGAAAAAATAAATATTTAACAAAAAATACAATTTAATTACTAAAACCGTCTTAGCTTCTAATTTCAGAGTTTGTATGGATATTTGCTGCACATGTTGAGGCCACAACAAAAGAACAAAAATGGCTGAAAATACATTTTCACTTTGTTCCTTTATTCTTATATTTGCTGTAAAGTTTTTATGCTGATGGTTTGATACGGATCAAATTTTTTGTGTTTTCACTAAATCGGTTTCTGACTTCCACAGAGCATGTTAAAATAAAACCTGTTTATAAACGCGGTTTCTTCAGTCTGGCGGGGCAACATGCAGGAAGCCTGCAGGTTGGGAAACAGAACCAGGAGCAGAGAAGCGGCTCTGCGGCTGATTTCCAGGTTTTCTTCATAACTTCGCCCTGCAGACATGTCGGGACGCCTGCGCAGCGCTGAGATGCCTGAACCTGACAAAACGGCCGACCTGCAGCCAGAGAAACTCACCGGAGAAGGAGTTGTCTGCGAAGCGCAGCAGCAGGCTGCTCTTCCCCACATCTGAGGAGGAACAGATGAGAGACGAGATTAGAGAGGCGGTCAAACTGGTCTGAGGAACCAGCAGGCGACTCGGCTTCCTCCCAGTAAAACCAGCAGGGAGAGACCAACTGAACCAGAAGCTACTGGAGCAAAACTCACACTCGGCATCAAAATGCTCATTTATTTTAGTAAACCAGACTTTTACCTTCCACTCAACTTTCCAGTGACCTGTTGGCTCAACCAGCCTTACCGTCATGTGTCCTGCCTGCTTTAAGTAAAACCAAACTGGCTGTTATTTCATGGAATCAATCAAATTTTTACTTCTGACTAAATTACTAAAATAAATAACTGATATTCTAATTTACCGATGGCAGGTTTTGTTAAACATCAGCAGTTAATCAGGAAATGCTGACGGTGAAACAGACAAACGGTTCAGGAAACGACTGAAGTCCAGGATTCTCCAGGATCTGGCTGGTTTCTGCTGCCAGATCATTTTATTTATTAGTAACTTCACATGAAACTTATTTAACATTTCTTTCATCTTAATATGTTACTGTGGTTTAAAGGCTTATTAACAAAAACTAAAATTACACAGAAACTGAAGGTAGGAATTAATGTTGGACTGAGATTTTTTTAAATGCGATAAGACACAATATTACCAGAATAAAGTTGTAAAATTACTAGAAAAAAGTTGTTTTAATGAGAAAAGCTTCAGTAGTTATGAGCAGCTCGTCGAATCATTTCAAAGTTCTGCTGCTGATAATTTATTTTTTTCATATTTTACTTTTTTGTGTAATTCTAAAAAAAAAAGACGACTTCATTCTGCTAATATTACAACTTTATGCTGGAAATATTAGTTTGTCAAACTGTCAGTTTTCTAGTATTATAACTTAATTGTTGTACAACTTTCTCAAATTAAGATTTTTTTTCTCATATAACAAACGGGTTTTATGCTGATGGTTGTCAGACATATTTATTCTCATATTATTGCGATTCAAAATAAAAAGACTAATGTATAATTTTGACTTTATTCTCTTATTATTTCACCTTCATTGCTGTAAATTTGTATTCTTGTAATTATTTTTTTTTAGGCTGGCTCTAACACTGCCATAAATTAGACGGCTCTGTCCTGCAGGTAAGATACTGCCTGCTCCTACTTACTTCACACAACCACTATAAACATGATAATTATGTGTTTGTCTTGTTTTTATGCACCAACATGATTAAAATGCTCATTAAACACAAAGTGAATAAATTTTGCTAGTCCAGCAGAAATGCTCCTCCTCCTCCTCCTCCTCACTGTGATGAAGGTTAGGCCATAAAATGATGTAATAATAAACATAATCAGTGGATCCTGCAGTTCAGGATAATAAACTCTCCTTTATGTGGAAATGAAAACATTATTGAGCCGATCCTGAGGTAAAGGAAGCAGAACTGAAGGAGTTAGTAAAACATACTAACTGGAGTCTCCAATGATGAGCAGCTTAAAGAGATGATTGTAGTCTTTTCCTGCCATCTGATTGGCCGTGTATCCACTTTCCCAGTAAAACCAGTTTCATATGAGGAGGTGACCTCTGACCCCCTCAGGAGCACATGCAGTTTGTGTTTACTTCAGCAGCTCCAGTTGGGGAACATTTCCAGGTGAATCTGCTGCTGTAGTCGTCCAGACGCAGCGCGTGGCGTTTCTGCAGCGCCGCAGCGTTCAGCATGCAGGCCGCATGTTACAGCCGCCCTCCTGCAGCCGATCCCCGTCCCGCCGGAGCAGCGCCGCACCCACGGCTCTGGACCCGCAGCTCTGCACCCGCAGCTACTCCATCACCGAGGCATTGTGCCGGTTCTGGTCCCAAATCAGCCGGAGCGAGGCGTTCCCGTTTCTGTTCCTTTGTTTCACTTCGCTTTCCCCAGCGGTCAGGTGGAGTCACAGATCTCACTTCTTCTTCTTCAGGGTTTTAGGATGAGGGAACCTAAAACAGGAGAAATGTTAGATGAATGTGACGATTGCTTCATTTTTACTGACTGAGCTGCAGGTGCAGCTTTCTGGCCGATCACCGACCTTTAAAAAGTCGGACCTGCCCATTCCGATTTTGGCCGATCATTTTTTTTGTCTGAAATAAAAGTTGCTGAGTTGGCAACTTTTATTTCCATTTTACAGGAGGGTCACTAATGTCACCCCTGGTGGGCGGGGCTCACCCCCGGTGGGCGGGGCTAACAGTCGAACCTCTCAGTGCAGAGCAGAAGGACTGTGGCTGATTTTCAGACTTTTGTTGAGGAAGATAAGATCTGCTTCACATGCAAGTATCGGCGGATCACCAATGTCCCAAAACGAAGGAAATCAGCGCCGATAAATGGGTGCGGCTCTGGACTGAGCCGCTCCTGAGTCACTAATCACTTCCTGCCCTCTGACTCAACTGGATCCGGTGCTGGAGGAACCCAGCAGGGCGCCAACCGGGCCTTCAGGGCTCCTTCCACACGTCACAGATACATAAATGCAGCAGCTTCTGTAGCAACTTCCTGTTTTCAGCGACCGCCTGCTGGAGAACTGTCAGCTCAGCTTTTCAATCGGCCGTTATGCAGGACGGTTTCACGATTAAAACGTTTTTATTACGTTCCGTGAGATACCACTATTATCCAAGATAATATCTTATTCATTGAGAATTAGGTTGGCAAAATAATTATTTATGCTTGAAAAAAATTAAAAGTTACTCATTTGCATCAAAATCGACAAACAGATCCGTTTATGTCTGCCAGAATTGCTGCTAACAGCTAAGAGCAGCGTTGTTTGGTACTTTCCCCTGAAGCAAAGGAATAAAGGGAATACTGAAGGATTCCACATGCTAACATTGCTAATGCTACATCACTGATCATGGAGAGCAACTCAAAAGGGTCAGAGAAACTCTGTTAACTGAAACAATGAGGCTTTATTGTCCTGGTCGAGTTAAGCTAACGCTAGCTGGTCAAATATGAGCAAACAGACACAAACAGCCACAGATGGCGCTCTGACAGTCTGAGCGCCGTCAAGATCCCACAATGCTCCATTTTACTGCGGCACGAATCAACGCAGAAAAATGTTCATCAGCTGCTCAGTCAGCTATTAAATAGTGAAACAAACAACCAAACCACTGCAAGCTGTATTTGATCATTACAGAAAATATGATGCAAAATTACCAGAAAGAAAAACTTTACAGAGCTGCTGCTTTATAGATCTACATGGAGTAGACCCGTGTTTGTTTTAGTGTAGAATGATCCTTTATTTGTTCCTCAGTGGGAAAATGAATTTTTATCAACAGCAAGCAGACAGACAAATGGAAGCAAACAATATAGATAAGCAGCTATAATAAAATAAAATAATTGCAGAACTGACTTAAATGTTAGAACAGAAAAACAAATGAAAAAAAACTTCTGGTAGCATTCAGACAGATGCAACTTTTGCTCCTCTTCTGACCAGCATCTTGAATATGATGTGGACCAGCATAAGCTCTCACCTTTTACTCCCCCAACATATTTGTCCTGGAGTCACAAACTGTGAAAATCTCACTTTCCTCTACATAATTGGTGCACATCTTACTCTTCAAGTTGTTTAAAAAAGTTATTCAGACAATTTCTGTCTCACCATTCAAAGTTTAACTATATGGTGTTGAAAAGCTACCTCAAGCTAATGCTAGCTCCTCAAGCTAATGCTAGCTCCTCAAGCTAATGCTAGCTTGAGGAGATGTTAAAACACTCCTTCATTTAGCTTAGACACAGAGAAAAATGGTATAAGCTGAAGGATGAAGCTAATTATCATGGCTACACCTAAAGGAGAGAATTTGTTTTGCTTTTCTCTTTACGTGGTCTGGCTGTTGACTCCCTTCTCAACCCATTTATGCTCAGTGCACCGTTTTTCTGTCGCCTATGGGCACACATCCATTCCTGGTTATCCTGTAAAAAAGTTTGTTTTGTTTAAAAAAAACCTACTATGACAGCTTTTGACAGGGTGCTGTGAGGCGCTGTGTCACTGCCCTTTTATGGAGGTGCGTTTCCGGTTTTCAGGGCATGACTCAACAGGCTCCTTTTGCTTCAACACTTAGGAAAAAAACAATGGAAATGTTGATTATGAGTCTTTTTTTTATTTACTTTCAAGAAGTTGTTTGGTTCTGGACAATTTTGTTTTCCAAGGAAGTGTAGCCCAGGAGCGATGAAATTATAAAAATATTAATACTTACTTTTAACATAGCTTCATAATTTAATCAACGCATTTCATATTTAAACATTATTTGCATATCAAAACATTCTCATTAATTGCATGAGCCTTAAAATGGTTTCAGTCTATTAAAAGAAAAAAAAGTTTATAGCTGAACATAAAAACGCAAAAATGATCATTTTAAGATCTCTGTTTCGTTTTCTTTCCCTGACATTAATCGGAATAACTTGTAGTAAAACTAGTTCTCCATTTAACAACATGTCACTGCGGACTTTTCTGGATGTGAAACTGATGTTTTGCACCAACGGTCAAAAGTTTCAGCTACGAACCGAACCGGTGGGTGGTCGCCCTGGTCGGTCTTAAACCCCCAAAACAGACACATAAAACACATTTTAACAGCAGGACAGTCCAACAGGAAAAACAAATATCCATTTAAATTTGTTTGTTGCAGAGTGTGGACAGTCGTGGAGCCCTCCAGGTTTTTCCCACCCTGGAATGACGGAGTGGGCCCTAAATCTGGAATGTCAAGAAACTTCCAACGGCCCGGACAAACTCCGGAGCAGCTGCGGGAAAATGGAGCACTTACTTCGGTCATCTGGCGGACTCGGTGCTCGGACGGCGGCTCATGTTTCCAGGCCCCGCAGCAGTCGCTAGATTTAGCCTCGGCGCAGCCTGCTGGAACAGCGCTGTCTCCGGTCGGAATGCCTCCCCACCGCCGCGGCCACACCTGACTGACTGACGGCGGCTGGTGATGAGCTGATGCTGCGTTCAGGAGGGTAGGAAAATACAGAGCTCCAACGTGTTTCCCCCGGAAAAATCATTAAATACGGTGAAAATAGAAATTTCGACCAAAAAATATTTCTAATATTTGTTTTTAATGCAAGATAAACTAATCTTACCTGCCGAATAGTCAATAAATTTTTCTTTAACGTAGCTAAAGTACAATTCGGTGTCATGACCTGTGGCAAGCTGTTAGTGACAAATATCTACACTTTTCCATTTCTAGACAATAATTTGTTATAAAAATTACCATGTCTGAATTGGGACACTGTAAAAGCCAGAGAAAATAAACAAAATATTGTAAAGTGCTCAAGACTGCCAAATTCCCACTAATCTTTTTATTTCATACATTAATATCTATACTTATTTTTTTACTGGTCTTTTTTATATTTTTTGTTTATTATTTTATTATTGGCGCCTTACACCAAAAGTTTTCTCAATATGTGCTTCGCAAATGTGCAGTTGAATGACAATAAAGTTTGCCTATGTGCTTCAGAGCAGCTAACAAAAAAAAAAGCTTGGAAAAAACACACTTAACACAGTAATAGTTGTTGAAAACTATGCATATGTTGCTCCTGGGTGATTTTGAATCCTNCCTANAGAGGAGACCTGGATNTCTTTACCAGCAATTAAATATTTTTTTCTGATACTTATATGGTAAGCTGTTAGGGTCAAATATTGGCTCTAGAAATCCATCTAGGGGAAAAAAACTAGAAAACATTGCAGTTCGATCAGTCAGAATACTATAAACCCCATCAGAAAGCATTCCAACACTTTTTTTCCACTCCTCTTTTTTTATATCAACAAATTACTTGATTGGTGGAAAAAGTGGTGTTCACAGACTAAATAGATTTGACACCAACGGCTTGCCGTAGCCTCACACCAGTTGCGCTTCTGCACTGTGCAGCATTTCATCTCTATGCTGCATTCAAGTCAACTCGTACACTGGATTATCCGCATTAATATGACTCCAAAATGCCAAAACAAAGCCTTTTTAACTATTCCACATAGAAAATTATCACAAAATGTAAATGTGAACTTAATTTACACTGAAAACAAAATAAGTGAAGCTAACTTTTATATATTTTTAAAACCTTTTCTGTATTGATAGTTGCTGGTGTGTCTTACATAGGGTATAAAACACTCTGAATCCATTTAGTTAAAACATTGAGCTATATGTTTTTCTACAAAAGCATCTATATAAATTATAGATATGGATTTGGTTCAGTAAAACCTTTGGTAACATGATATCACCTGTGTGTTTGTTTAGTTGTTTTTTGGTTAAAGGTTCAAATCTCAGCGAGATTAAAATGAAACCAGCAGAAATTTTTTGGAGCAGAACAGATTTGAGTTTCAGCTGATTTGAGATGACAGACGCTGATGTGGAGATCAGCTTCCTGGTTGCAACATCAGGAAGTTGCATCCTGTCACGGTTAGCGTTGAGAAACAAAGTTTTCCAAAACCTCAGAATTTCTGCTACCTGCTCAAGTTTTAATCCTCGTTATTGAATTTTGATTTAAAATATCAGATGAAATTCAGGAAATCGTATTTTTTAGGCCAGAGAAAATGCAGATGGTTTTAAAATGACACATAGACTACGTGTTAAATATGCAAAATAGTTCTTTCAACAGATCAGGTAACTTTAGTTTTATTGTGATGGGCAGAAGGATAAAGTTTGGGTTGTAAATGTCTCAGTCTTGCTCTAATCCAGGGTGTCCAAAGTGTGGCTCAGGGGCCGTTTGCGGTCCTTGGAGCAGCTTCGTGTGGCTCTTTATTTTAGGAATGGTTTACTCCATTACTGAGGCAGATGGAGACTTTTAGTGGATTTTCTTTGTACATTTTCAATGACAAATTTACATCTTAGAAAAGTTTAGGTACAAAACAAACATTTTTCTTTTATAAGCTGTGCGTCTTGTCTTTTTAATTTCATTTTAATGTCATAGTAAGTAGGGCAAAAATCCCCAGCAACTTTTAACATCAAAACAGACTAAGTCACACCCAATAATTACAATGTGTTAAATCCAATTACAGGTCTTATTTTCGCTCCAGCATAATCTCCATTTGCCTGATTTATCATTTTTCTCTTTCTACCAAAAACTGGATGACAAAAGTCTTCAGTCTGTTGTTTCGGTCTCAACCAGACCCTTTTTCTGAAGGTTTACAGAAATTTCATAATTCATTTTATTTGCTGTTCCTGTTTTATTTTGGATATTTAAGATGTTTTCTTGCTTTACTATTCGTTGAAATGGTCTCAAAACAACAACTTTGTTTATGGCAACAACTTCTGGAACAATTTATCATCCATCAAAGTTTATCACGACAGGCCAAGTTATATAAATAAGTTAAACTGATTTTTTTTAAGTTCTCCTTATAATACTGAGCTGGAATTTGAGATATAAGCTGATAATCTGCACTGATCCAAGAGTTCAATTATTAAACTAGTAAAAATGCATAAAAACCAAGAAAATTTCCACCCAAATAAAATTTACAATTACTTTTTATTAATACGATGAATCATTTTCAACAAAAGAAATTACCCTAGTTTCAGTTTCTGCTCACATTGCATGGAATCGTTTACCTGTTACATAATAATAACCAAAATACGGACAGCTCATATCTACAGGAAGGACGACATTCAGCACAGGTACAGTTAGGTTGAGGCGGCTGCAGCCTGCGACGCTCCACTAAAACAAAAACAGATCACTGCAGGAGCAGTTCTCCAAACCCAGTGCTGGAGTCCAGGCTGGCAGGAGGAGGAAGAGGAGAAGGAGGAAGGATGTGTTTCTGATGATCGCTCATTTTCTCCTCCTGCTGCTGGACGAGGATCTGGGCGACCGTCGGCCTGCGCTCCTGCAGGGAAAACAGAAACACCTTCAGGAAAGTCTCACCAAGGCCGAACAACACGACAGAATACATTTTTATTTATTCAGAACTGAACTAGGATTGGAAATCAGGAAGTTTCTGCTGACCTGGGAGCGGGAGAGGAGCGAGCAGCTCGGATGTGTCTGGGAGGAGAATAACTGAGAGAACGGGAATCTCTGAGAGAGTCGGCCGGGACGCGGTGAGGCCGCGCAGGGCTGAGGGGGAAACAACAGCAGCTGCATTAAACTCACACAGTACATACACAGGGCAGAGGAGGCAGAGAAGGAAGGAAGGAAAGAAGGAAGGAAACATGTCTGCCTGAAAGGAAGAATAGGAAAACAAAGGACAGAAGGGCTGAGAGGGAGGGAGGGAGGGAGGAAGGAAGGAAGGAAGGAAGGAAGGAAGGAAGGAAGGAAGG